TCCTATGATCTCATGCTGCAACCTCTTACTTCTCCTCTGATTCCCTGCCACGTCGGCAACCGCTGCATTGCCGACTGGGGTTTGATCCATAACCAAAAGAAAGTCCGGCGTCTGAAATCGGTGATGACAAATTAATACGCTCGTAAAACACTGTGCGGTGCATGGTACGCTATTATCATGGTAAGCTTGTGTTGTCACAACTGAGCAAGCAGGATTCATCATAACTAAAAATGAGTCTGTGTTTGCCTTCCTGTTTCATCTCACTAACATTTATGTTATGCTGCGAGCGACTCTACTGCATTGTGAGCTTGCAACCGTAAGCACCCGCTGTGCAAGAACACTTAAAAGGATGTCAGAAAGTCGAGTGTGATCACAGGTCACAGATGAGAGGGTGGAGGGCTGTGATGTAAGTGCTGGAGGCTGGGGGGGATGTCGTCGATGAGGGGTGTTGGGTGAAGAGCGCCCCCGGGTCGGCTGGTAGGGGTCGCTCTGGGAGTTAGAGCGGCTGTACAAGCAGGAGTGGCGCCAGGCTCTCCCCTGTGAGTGTGTGAAGCAGCATGGTGCAGCAATGGTACAACCCTGTAGCTGCTAGGATCTGTGAGAATCCCAGTGACACGAGAGACCGCAGGGGAGGAGAGTCAGCCCCATGTGTTTATACAAACAGATGAGTTGCCATGACTATCCAAGCAGCGGCAGCTTCACATGATGTCACCTTGGCGGCGAGGGAAAAACAATAACAGTGAAACACAACTAATTTAGGACCATGCAAAGCAGGATTATCAACATAACACCCACAAATCAGACGCTGGTGATGTCTTGATTAAATGCACTGTTTAAAAGAGCAGTTCACCTTAAAAATATAATTCTAGCATTATTTCCATTTGTGTTCTAAAAAAGTTCATGCTGCTCTTTTCCATACAACAAAAGCATACAGTGATAAGAGGCTGTCTAGCTACTAAAAAAGCACCATAAAAGTAATCCATATGAGTAGTGGGTTACATTCCAAGTCTTCTAAAGATATAAGATAGCTCTTAAATTATTTAAGGCTCAGCAATAACATTGTTTATTGATCTTGTACATCCATTTTTATGTCTTGCAACCTTAAACATTTGGTTTTCTGTAAAGTTTTGTACATTGTTGTTGCAGATTCTGTCAATTTGTTGCAAAGATAAAGTAATCTAGCTGGCCAACATAAATGAGGTTTTGTCATAATTGCAAAAATTACTTGAAATATCCTTGAAAGCATCAGTACAAATGTGATGAAAAACAGAAACCAATCCATGATGCTTTCCATCGTATGACATTTTCCAGCAACAGTGTTTGTGAAATGATGCAGTTAAGCTAATTATACTATATAATTTCAGCTTGTTGCCAATTTTCTTTTTGCAAAGAAAATATTTGTGAAGAAAAAAATCCAATACAGCAAATATCAATGCATTGCTAGAACGAAAATTAATTTAGTAATTATTTCTATTATTATTTATTAATTCACTCATTATTCTTAGGTTATAATAGGGCCAGTGAAAATGTTGGCACGGCAAGTCAAAATTGGAAAAAAAAAAATAGCCTCATGCAAGAACGTATTTTCAGTGGTTAAAAAGCAGCGTGAACTTTCTTCATTTGTGTTCCACATAATAAAGAAAATCATACAAGTGCAGAACAATATGAGAATTTAAAAAAGAATATAAGATAAAAAAAAGATCCCTTTTAATATCGGTGTATGAAGTCAAAAAGAATAATTTCTTATGCTTAGACACTACTGCATGTAATATCATGCATCTTACATGTAGTTGTGTCTAAGCATAACAAATAATTTCCCTGTTGACGTCATACAGCCTTTAAAATGTAATGCTTCGGTCTCCAAGGTAAATGTGTGAGGCAGGAACTGCGGGGCACCCTGAGTGTGTTTTATTCCATGTCCATGGCCCAGTTTGGAAGGTGCCGGTTTTGCCCCGGTCAGGGCTAGGCTCAGTGGGAACCAGCTGTTTCAGACTTGGTGAGACAGAGGGTTAGCCATGGGAGGGAGTGACGAGCCAGTCATCAGGGCTCACACTGCCCAGCTGTGCCACCGAGCCTGACAGACTCACACCTGCCCTCAGCCCGCTGCGCAATAACACCAAAGCACACACCTGCTTCTTCTTTCCAGCATCCTCTGTCCCTCGGTAGAGCTCTCTGGCCAATGAGGAAGAGGCAAGACCCTGTCTTGTCCCCCGGCATCTGACCTGCTGCATGGGTCTGTAGCGGAGGAAATCACATGCACTTCCGACATTCAGCTGCAAATCTTTCAGTATATATTTTGGATACAGACAGGCTAGTGTGTCTTGCAAAGCAGCCTCCACCCCTCCATCCAACCCCCACTCCGGCTAATTCTCTCTGGCTGGAAGACCTGTAAAAATCAATAGAGAAAATGTCCTGAAACAGTCAATCTAGCAACCATCTGCCCTGGTACTCCACTGAGACAAAGACCAATGTCCTCTGGGAAAGTGACGGAAGAGACAGACAGCACAACGCACATACAAACTCAATTACTCACTACAACTAAAACACTCTTTCACATTGCAAAGTCAGGCTTACACTTTTCAACTGCCTGTCAGTAATTTTAACTGAAGTAGTGCTTACATTTATATAAACATTTTATTGGGTTATGTGAGACAACAAGGTCAGGGGGTGTATTTGCCGTTTTAAATATCCAGCAACCTTTCTTATGAACTATAGCGAACTAGAGCAGATTAAGCTTATATACTGATTTTAAGAGTGAACAGTAAACCTGCGTTGGCTACTGTTGCGCTATCAGAATTTAAATTATTGAATGTAGCATTAGCTTTGATCATCAAACATGTAATTAAATGATTCTGTATCATGCCATTTTCTCTCACTCAGTCCACAGATTATAGTAATTTAATTGCCATATGTCACTAATGAATTTTAATGGAAACTGTTCGATTTCCAAAGTAATGATGGCAGCTTCTAGTAAAACAGAGCAAGGTCAGTTGAATTCAAAACACACCAAAAATACCAGAAAATATCTGGTTTATTGATGACTACTGAAGGATTTGTCTGTTAACAACAAAGGTGTAAATGAGGCTTCATTGGGGGGAAAATATGTTTTACAAAACAAAAACGTACAAATAATCCCCATGCTGTCAATTGAAGATGGACATAAGTCTATCCGTATTTCACATTAAATAAAGTATAATGTACATTCATTGTTTTAAGATAAAGATTGCTTGCCTTGGACATTATCCCAGTCATTACATGGCTACTTATCAAATAATTTAATATGATTATCAAGCACTGTCATACACTGCATTTTGTTATTAGCTTACTTGTAGAGCCCACGTAGACAGAATATAAGCACAGCTATGAATGTCAGTTATACAGCATTGCCATGGGCAAAAGTCATTATTCTGAAATATTACGCTATTGTATTACCTATTTTTAGGTTTCAGTTATATGGATTCCGGGAATTAACTGCTTTTAGAAGTGTTTCTGACTTGCCCACAGGGATGAAAAACATCCTGATGAGTCAATTACCCTTTACACAATAACCAGATCAGTACTGCAAATCAATGCCATCAATTGCAGAAATAGGTGCAATTACAGATGTTCTTTGAGGTCATTTGCGCCATCGGAGGAGCTAAAACTCTCATTTCTATGTGCTAAGCCTCTTATTTCAGAATGGAAATATTTAAAGTAGCCCTGATCTTGTCTGTGAACCACCTAATCCTAGTGATTGTGGAATATCCGAGAGGATCGCCACACTTTTTTTCGGTATTCGCCTGTGCCAAACTATTACATCACAAGGTCATTCTAATATTCTGAACTACTGTTTCCAACTTTATCGGTAGCACCGTGGTGTCAGTTACCCGTAATGTATCATTTCCAACTATTTATGACTTCATAAAGGCGTAGAATTGCTTCACGTTCCAAACTGCAACTTCTACTTCTGTTTGTTGCGTCCTCTCTGGCCGTGTGAGCGACGCCAGCGCGCAGCCGCTGCTATATAGCTCTCTAAAAATAGCTCACCTTTTACTTCCTTCTGCGGCCCGATTGACAAGTGTCACGAGCCAATCGCGCTAGAATATTCAAATTATACTCCTCCTCTTTGGCCATTTAAGCACCGCCTTACTGGGCGCCAGTGAGATCATCAACCCGATTTACCGTATATGGTCACGCACGGAATTGATTGACAACAAACCACGCCCCCTCAGTTCCCTTGGCTTCCTCTCGCTCGCTAGACAGCGAGCCCAGCAACTTGCCTTGGTGATCCACGGCGTTCACGAGAAAGGCTACCTGGAATTTATAGCGCAAAAGAGACGGAGGCAATGCGGAAATAGATGGACAGTTCATGTCACCGAGTTTGCATCCCACTCCCAGGCTGAGGATCTGAGAGTTTGCGGGGGTTGCAATTAAGTGACAAGAATTATTTTTATTTTCCTTTCTTTTCCTCAGCGCTTGAAATTACCAGCTTTAAACTACACTTCACGGGGGATTTGAAGCATTCTTTTGCATTTGACATTGGGCTGAGAAGAAAACAGATTATACCTGAGGATCAAAGCAACACTTTTTTTCTTGTGAGCATCAACATGGACGTGTTGGCGAATTACAGTATTTTTCAGGAACTTCAGCTGGTGCACGACACGGGCTACTTCTCGGCGATGCCGTCGCTGGAGGAGAACTGGCAGCAGGTGAGAGAGCTTGCGCGTAACTACTTAGACTGTTCGCATAAATAAGCCGTGCGTATATGCTCCCATTTAACTAATGGAAACATTCACAACTCACAGTGCGCGCTTATGCCCAAACACCTTGTCCAAATTATTCCGCGTAGTGGTGCAAGTGTTGTTTTGCTTCTTTCACGAAGGCGAAAGTGGTTATTAGTTCGAAGAATAATCTATAACATGATTTAAGGAATGAAATGCATATTTAGTACACTTCTCTGCTGTACAGTCAAGGCAAAAGAGCTGTCAGTGACAGAATCAGACGCGAGCGGATTCATGTGCACTATAGGCTACTTCTGACTGGAACTGACTAAATGGAGTTTTGTTAAGGCGAGAGAAAATAAGGGGTTGGCTAACAATAAGCGACTTATTAAATAATGCATTCGCATCTGTCAGATTACTTCGTGTTTTTCTGCTCAACGAAATCAAGAGCATTTCCCGATCGTCATGTATTATGTATTACCTCCGCCGCGAGGGTGCGCGCGTGAGTGGATGTGAGGAGAATGCATCCCTCTGCCTCTGAGAGCTGGTGTGCATATGTATGACAATTTGCTGACTCTTTTAGGGGTAGAGATAATCAATGATAAAAGTAGCGTTTGACGTTTCCCGCTTATTAAGCCTTCTGGACGATTTGGAAGTGATGCACCTGTGCAAATTGGGAAATATCTGTCAGGGTCATGTTTTTAAGTGATGTGGTCTTTATATGATCAATGCAAATAAATTGCTTTGTGTTCTTGGACAATAATTGTTTTAGTAGTCTAGTACAACAATAACAGCAACAGGATTTGGAAGTACCGTAAATTAAACGGCAGCAATTTAATGGCAAGATTTATGATTTGAGGTCTGGACGTCTGGTAATCGATGTGACGGCGGACGCCTCTTCACGCATGCACCGGCTGTCTTCAGCTCATTGCAATTCCATGTGCTCAACTGCAGGGAAATGCAGCGAGTGGTTATTTATCACTGGTGTGTGAACTTGAAACAGATCTGCCCCTACTGGCAATTCAACTGGCACTTACACCAACACAAATATTATCTGGTAGCAGATGCAAATACAGACACATTGGCATGAGTATAGAAGGAAAATGCAGGTCTGGCAATCTCATCTTAATGATTAGATCAGTAATATGTCATGCAGGAAGACAGACAGGTCTGATTCATCTGCTAATTCTGACATTAATTAACTTGCATCAGGGTCATATCAAACAATGGCTCCTGTGTGTACATGGGGCATTAATTCCCTGTGGTGTCGTGAACTGGCTGTCCAAGCAGACATGGATCACAATTTTTACACTACAGTTTTACGCTTCTTTGGCCATGTGCGTGAGAGAAAGCGCAAGAGAACCAGAGAAAGATGTGTAGCAGTAATATATATATATATATATATATATATATATATATATATATATA